TATCATTAAAATTTTAATCATGTTTTAATTAGGAATATTATCAATAATCTTTTAAATTTATTATTAATCAATTTAGAAATAAAATTTGTATTATATACTTTAAGGTATATAATTTTATTTATAACTATTTTTTCAAATAATTTATAAATCTTATAACTTTTTAAGTTTTTTTATATAAGTTTTAGTAAAAGGTATAAATTTTATTTCTTTTAAACTTTGTTTATAATGATATTAAGATGTTTTAATATTTTATTATAAATTATTTTTAGCTTTTTTTTTACCAATTTTTTTTATATATCATTATACTGAATTATAAATTCTTTTTCATTTAATTTAGCACAAAATTTCTTTTTAGTTAACTTTTATAATTTTATCAAATAATTTTGCTAATTAAAAAATAAGATTGTAGCAGAATTTAATGAGTTTATTACTGAAATTTCGGTTACATGATTTGAGAAAGAAAAACATTAAAAAAGCAAAGTTTCAAAATTATCTTCTATCTTTAATACATTTAATAAGATATTATTTTGAATACTATCAACTATTACTTGAATAATATTCTCTGTTTCTTTTATTTATCTTGATTTTGATTCAAAAGCTATTTTATAGTTTTTGAGATTCAAGTATGTAACTACATAATTAATATTTCAGATAGTATTAGTTATTAAGTAATCCTTGAAGTTTCTTTTCTCTATTTATCTTATTATCTATCATATTACTAATCTTTTTTTTACTCTACATATCTAAGAAATCATCTATTTCTCTATCTTCTAATGATTTAAGCTCTGTGCAAATAGAATATTAAGTCAAAGATAAGTTAGAAACTCAAGACATAATCTCTTCCTAATATAAGTAAAATTTTTTTCTTTATCTCTCTATTCTAGATTCGTGATTCTGATTTCATGTTCTTCTAAGACTATCACATTATTAGCTTTAATCTCATTATTTTCAACCTTAACTTTCATATTTTCAGTTTTATTTTGATATTCCTAGCCTTAACTTCAGCAAACTTTTTTCTAAGTTTATCAATTTTTGGAATTCAATGGATATGTTTAGTAATATATTTGTATATGTTCCATTATTTATTTAAAATATATAACTGAAAATAACAAATTTCAGCAATAGGCTATCATTAAAAATTCTAGTGAAATTTTATAAATTATTTACCAAATCAAGTTTCTGATTAATTAATTTATAGAATTATATATTAAATATCAAATATAATTTTTACACTATTTAAAATTTTAGAATAATATGTTGTAAAATTAATCAATATCAATTTTTTAATCTAAATAGCATATTATCTAAATTATTTAAATCAATATTCTCATAAACTAATAAATCTAGATAATGCATCAAATTGTGACCTAATAAAATAAAATCAGAGATGGGGAACTAAGACATAAGAAATTGGAGATAGGATTTAAATAAAGATTGATTTTTATTATTTTTTTTTTGCGAAATATCATCGACTGAATTTATGTAAATATTATTATTTTTCAGAATATTTGTGGTTGCTTTATTTACTGCTCTTACTATTGACAGGACATCTATCTATAAAAAACCAATTATTATTATTATTTGTTTGATATTGTTATTAACAAGTATTTTCAAATACTCTACCAATCAATTCATCAAACATATCATATCTTTTGAAAACTGTTCAAAATTACCAAAGGTAGCAGGTATTTTTAACGTACACAAATTGTTATAATAAATATATTGTTAGCAATAGCTGAACTAAATACTTAATTTCAACAAATCTGTCTATAAAGAAACATATGTAAAAAAGTAATCCTATATGATCTGACTTCTGATTATAATTACTTACTAAATGATTACACTAAGTATATGCATACATATTCTTTAAGTATATTTTAATAATAGATTTAAAGTTTTCATAGTATTTTGATAAAGCTTAATCAAATTATCATCTTTTTTGAACATGGGCGTTTTTCTTCCAAGTGAAAATTCAATAATAATAATAGTTTGATTTTTGCCTATTATACTAATTATTTTATATAACTTATCGAATTTATAATTCTTTATATCTGAAATAATTTGTTTGACCCTTAGTTAAGTAAAAAAAAATAAATTAGTAAGATTAATAATTTAAAATTTTGATATTTACCAAGTAACATCCAACTTATCTTGATGCATCCTAAATATTCTATTTAAAATGTAAATTATTTTATCTATAGCATAAGTTCTTTCTAAATTGAAACCTTTGTACTTGACTCTCATTAGTGCTTCTAAATATATAAAACTATTTTCAAAAAATTAATTATAACAAAGAATTGGTTAATGTTAACTGTTAATGTAAAGAATATTTACAAATGAGTTAATATACTAGACGATATCATGCATTTCATAGTAAGAAGAATCAAATCTTCCAGAAACACAGGAGTAATTATTAGAATATTAGTTTGACTACAGATTTTTTCAGTAAATTGGTTAATATATTCTGTAAACTTCAGTATAGGATTCTAAATTTTTCTGAAGAACACTTTTGAGTCAGGAAATTTGATTCTTATTCAAAAACTTTTTAACCTATTTATACATTTTATCATCTGATAAATCTATTATATTATTGAGATATATTAATATCAAAAAATCTTTATCAGCTTTTTTGTCTTTTTCTTAATATGCAATAAGAATTTTGAATAGTTTGTCTCAAATGTTTATCTCATCCTAGAAATTAAATATAATCATTATCAGTTATATAAAAATATTAAGAGCTAGCAAATAAATTAAATACCTGTATAAACTCTCTTATTTCTACCTCATCCTAATCTATATCATTTGATTATAAATAATAAGATAAAAATACAATAGAAAAATATTATACAATATTTTCTTTAGTTTGTAGTAGTGGTATAGTTGATATAACATTTATGGAGGTTGGCTAAAGTGGAGTTAAATCACGTGATCAGGTTGAGTCACGTGATAATAAAATTGATCATGATTAGTCCATAAGATTATTAGTCAGAATAATAAAATTAATAAATTTAAGTGTTCCGTGATGAATTTAAAATGCTCATATTGTGATAAATTAAAATAAATTTAAGTAAGCATACTGTGATGAATTTAAAGTGTTTATATTGTGATAAATTAAAATTTAAGTTTGATAAGTTTCATTAAACAATTATTAATAAAGTCATTATTAAAAAAAATATAAAAAATGTAATATTTATTTTTTTTCATTAAAATTTGAAATTATTGGATTTAAAGAAGCTTTTAGTATTGAAATAAAAGTATCTGTTCTCTCAATATCACCCTTTTCTTCAATATTCCAATATCTATCACGAATTCTGTCAGTTAATTCTACTACAGTTAACATCTGATTCTCAACTTCTTTTTGTTATTTTGTTTGAACAAATTTTATTACCAATTTGCGACCTTTATATATTTCATATCCACACTCTTCGAATATTCTCTGAAATACTTTCTATACATCAATAATAAATATCAATTTCAGAATAAACAGTGGCAATTAGGCATAATTGAACCTGACACGCCTTTGCCCTTTTCAATCCTATCTATTATAGCATGAGCCTTCTTAACTAATAGATTTTGAAGTGGAAAGGGAAACATGATTTTTTTTGATTATATTATCATCTATGCTATAGACAGATATTTTCTTAATACGAAAGTCAAAGGTGACTCTTTCAGAATCAGATCACTTTTTACAGTCAATATCAATAACATTATGCACAGCACCTAAAATAAAAGAAAACGTAAATAAAGGAATTAAAAAATATATATATTAAACAAATAAGTTAATAAAAGGGCAAATATACCAATTAGATTATGTGATGAAGACGTTAGTTTTTTTAATTCACTGTGGTAGGATTCTAATGGGTTTATAGATATAATTTGCAAAAGCAAAAGAGAATGCTGACACGCCCACAATCCTCACTGCTGTGTATTTTTCATATAATACCTTTGATGTAATTTTTTATAGTAGAAATAGTACAATTATTAATAGCATTTTGCACAAGATTTTCACAACTGATCCTTATTCTTTTGTGCATCACTGCATTCATAATATCCTGAGTTTTTTTTCATAAATTTTCATCATCCACGTTCTCATAACATAGATAATATAAAGGATTATTTCACATTTTTGTTCACCAGCACTTATACCAGGAAATGCTATTTTGATGCCTTTGAATTCAATGCTACTTTGATCTGCAAGAATATAATGGGAAAGCTAACAATAATAGCTATAAATAATTTTTAGCGCTTTTGAAATAATATTGCAATTTTCATTGCTTACAAAGATGTGAGCACCTACATCCCAACATCTATAAGTATCACGAACGTATAAGGTGAAAAGGCATCAATCATATTTGTTTGTTTTGTGAGTTAAATTAATAAGCGTCAACCATCTATAACGCTGAAGTTTCTCGAGTTGTTTGAAATGTGCAAATACAATACCCTTAATGGACTTCATGAACTGATAAGAAATATAATAACTTTCAACATAATATCCTTTTTCTACTAAAAAGGACATGGATTTTGAAATATCTGATTTTAAATCTAAATCACAAATAAGATGAGTTTCTAAAGGTCCATGCATTTTATATTTTATATTAACCATCTCTTTACATCTCAGCTCTTACACACTTGCATCTAGGCCTAACTTGGTTGCATATTCTCTAACAGTGGAAGTGATTGCTGAAAGTAGATAGTTTTTTATCGCTTTCTTTTCCACTAAATCTTGAACAATTTGAGACTGTTTTATTCTATCTGATTTTATTAATGAATGTGAATAGTTGGAAGAGTCTTTATGGCATTCAACTTTGACAATTTTTAATGAGACTAGCCACAAAACTCTAATTTTAGTATGACATAGTTTGGATAGTCATATTTTAGTTACCGTATAGTCCCGAAAATAAGCATCACGTGATATATATGAATTTATCAGTACATACGTAACTAATAATATAATAAATTCCATGTGACAAATAAATAAATTACTATAAAAGAAGCGTGTTATGGGTGCTTATTTTCAGGACTATATGGTATTCGGCGTTTTGCATTAGGAATATTTTTCTTATTTCGTGTATTTGATTTCTGATGCTTCATAAAATGATAGATAAAATTTTTCTGAATGTCGCTATTTACTTATTTGTATGAATTCCATTGTGTCCATTGGGATTTCTAAAGAACAACTTACATTAAAAAGTAAGTTCTGCTTTTTATCTATTGTGAGATTTGCTGATGTGAAGTTTTATAGTGCGAAGTTTGATGGTGTGAAATTTGATAGGATGGAGTTTGATGGTGTGAAGTTTGCTGGTATAAAGTTTATTGGTGTGAGATTTGTTGATGTTTGGTTTATTGTTGATGTAACAATTGAAGTGGTAGCAGCGGACTTATTAAAAGTATTTTTTCTTATACTTTAGAGGAGAAATTAAGGTGAGAGGAAGTATAAAGTACTTTAAAGCCTTCTTTTTATAGTTTCGCTTTATTTCTTTTTTTGTTTGAGTATAGGTAATTGCTAGCAAAAGCTAAGAAGCAAAAATTCTTATTTTTTCTTCCTCCATTTTTTAATTCACGTTAAGAATAAAAGACTTTCATAAAAAATAATAAATAAAGTAGCATATTTACACAACTTCACAGAAATCATAAGCTGCATTGAAAAATACTTTTGAACCTAAGTCTCAAGACTGCAAGAGATAAAAAAATGCTTTATTATTATATGTTTATCATATGCTTATTTTATTATGCATATAATGATCACGTGATTTAACTTGATTGTGTAGATATGTAACTTGTATATCATGTGACTAGACTTGATCATGTGATTTAACTCTGCTTTAGCTAACCCCATATTTGGCTAAATATGAGAAACTCATAGTAGTGTATTACGTCAAAACAAGATAGATATATATATACTGTATCTTAAACTTAAAACTTTCTCAAACTTTTACCCATTATATGTTCTACGTGTTGGTCATTTCTTTTCTCTTGACAAGTTTTCACTGTTATCACCCGCTGTAATGCCTACTTTAGAAATTCCTTTTTTTATTCGAATTGGTAAGGGCTATCTTTTATATACATTTTTTGAAGTAAAAGAATTATGATATTCATATATATTAAATTTTTTAAATAAAGCAATCTCTTCTTATTTTGAAAATAAACTAACCTTATAGTCATATGATAGCTTTCTCAAAAAATTGAAGCCGTTAATTATAGAAGACGAAAATACTGAACTTTCATCGATTTAGTAAAAAAGATTTTTGATGGCACTGAAGGAAATAAATAACAATAATACGAAAGATGAACAAGTGCGATATATTGCAGACCTTTTAAGTAATCAGATATCTTTTCTTAGTATATTAAGCACAACACAGAAGGTGTTGTTCCTCTAGCTTGTAAGAGCTTGGAGATATTATTTCTCCTAAAACTGTGTATGGGGTGTCATTTCTCGTGCCATTGCACAAACCCAGGGGTATCATCCTTTATTACTTGCAAACAGTCCTATAGGGGTATCATTCTTCTTTGAACTCCTAGGGGGTGTCATTCCTAATGCAAAAAAATTGCTAATAAACCTTTTTTTATTAAGAAAGTAATCGCAACCAATGCAAGCTTTTGAAAAAAGCTAAAAATGGAAAAGGATCGCAAGTTTTCTGAAGCTAATCTCTATCATAAAAGGTTTGTACTTTAAATTATACAAATTGAATCAGGTTATATTTATTAATAACTTTTTATAGTCTATATTCATATGTAACTCACAGATTAAAGCATTAGGTGTGTTAGAATTAGCACAGCATTGCAGATTATTTAGGCTACTAATGAGCTTGACCAATATATTAATACAAATAGTAAGAATACTATAGTATATTAGTTAAGCTGAATATCTTAGCATAGTTTATATAAACTAATGGCTAATTAGATTATCGCTCCCTTCTAGATGAATATTCTTAAAATTGCCAACCCCGCTAAATGTTCTGAACAAGATGATGTAAACATTATAAATTCTTCATGATATGATTCAATCATTGTAATATACTAACAATAATTTAATGATATTTGTATTGCAGGAATCTACAAAATCTGATGAAGGAACCATTGGTACGAAAAATTTTATATAAAGTTTTATTATTAATCTTTATTTAACTAATAAAAAATAATTTCTTTGGTTGAACTATCTAGCTAAATTATTGTCATAAATATTACAAAATAAATCCGAAAAAGCTGATAGTTTAATGCAAAATGAAGATCAAAGATTATCGTTAAAGAAATATCAGTCAGAAATTGATTTTACACAAGATGAAGATCAAAGACTATTATTAAAGAAATGTCAGTCAAAAATTGATTCTACGCAAGATGAGATCAAAAATTATCATTAAAGAAACACCAATTAGAAATTGAAGAGCCAAAATTACCTAAATCGAAAAAATTTGAAGCTGTAACTGATTTTACGCAAGATAAAGATCAAAGGATATTAGAAGAACTAACTGATTTTGCGTAAGATGAAGATTGAAGATTGTCATTAAGGGAACGCCAGTTATTAATTGAAGAACGTGAAGTAAAACTTGAGCATGAAAGAATAGAACTAATGAAATTAAAAAAGAGCTTAATATAGACTAGTCATTAGAAATATAAATTAGTTATTAAATTGGTAACAGAGATTTTATGATTCTTAAAGTAGTTTGTGAACCATCTTTGCTCTAACAATGTAAATAAAAGAAAGTTTGCATAGTATTGCACATTTCAGGTGATTTGTTCACATGATCTAACTTTAAAATTTACATTTATCTGGGAATTCTTTTAGGTATCAGGACTTGATTTTTCAGTGAATATTAAAAAATCAGATACTATATTTTGTTTACAATTAACAAGAGATATCATTAAACATGATGTTAAGCCAAGTTTGCTTGATGTCATATGGTAAATATAAAGGCTTAATTATTATACATAAAAAATTTTATTGATATACACAAAAATAAATACAGTATAATGGTTTAGAATGTAAACCCATTTTATGCAGACTATAATGCACAATTATTTTTTCGAATGATAACCCTCTATCCTAGTTCTCTTCTCTTCTGGCTTATCATTCATGCATGCCCTATTCTTTAACAATCCAATGATTATACCAAGAACCTTCCTTATATATTCTTCTTCAATACTAAAGGCACAATATATGTTATGCTGAATATCATTAATAATTAGCCAGTAGATCCTATACTTCTATTAGTTAGAAGTGAGAAGAGTCTTTATAGATATCATATAACATAACATATATTACGAGTTAAAACTCCTGTAATAATAACTGATCACAAATAAAAAAGAGAAAATTAATTTTTTGCTAATTGCTTATATTGCATATAATACAGTAGATTATAATTTTGTATATCATATTATTAGCCATAGATTCTGCTTCTATTGGTTGCAAATGAGAAGAATCTTCATGATTATTATATGATATGGTATGCTACCATATTTTCTTACCTGGCTTATTAATTTAACCCTTACTATAGTACCGTAATTATAAATAGGCTATTATAGATTTTTTTTATCTTAATAGCGTCCCAAGAATCAATTGCATTACTTCTAATGAGTTTGGGTTATAGAGTGACTTCCTATCTTTTCTCTAAATCTCTCCAGAAAGCTAAACCTTGTTTGGCTTGCAAAAAGGAAATTATAAACTCACATACGATATTTCAATATGATCATACTTTTCACATTAGTTATTGCAATGCATCTTCAGTCTGCAAAGAACAATGTCCAGAGTGTTAAAGCAATGTTATCAAACAGTTTGAACAACTCAGTTAGAAAAATATGAGTAGAGAAGAAAGATTGTTAGCTTTTATACATGAAGTGTTAACTGAAGTGATAGAAATTGATAGCAATTCATCAGAAGTAATCCCTCAGAACTAGCCTTCAGTGATTCTACAAAAATTATCTCAAAAAGCTGATTCTAATACCATCTATTGCTATTACAAATTTGGTTTAATACTAACCTTTCGTCTCAATAAATTAATAGGAAAAGGACAGAAAAGGGCACAACATACATTAAATATGAAGGTTTAAAGATATTTACCAGCTGGTACTTCTCTAGCTGTGGCAAAGGATAAAATTAAAAAGGTTAGAAAAATGGTTAAAATTTTTAGTAATAATTTATCTAGAATTCAATTTGTTTATTCATTTTCTATAGATCAGCTCTCGATTTTTAATAAAGACAATATTAAATTTATAAAATCAAATTACCAAAGCCTGAGATGCCATGAATATGTAAAACATTTCAAGTATTTTATTATGTCTTTTTTATGTCCTTTTATGTCTTTATATCTTTATGTTATACGTACAATGATATTTCATACTTCCCTTCAATAGAAACTCTTAGCATGTGGATTTTATATTTAATATAAAACTATACTAGATGAATTTGTAGATATATCATTAGTTCTTCCCTTCAGTAATCATTTTTAGTCTGTGTGATCTTTTTTTTTCATAATTGATAAGTAGAAACATAATAGATAAATTTATAACGAATGGAGAGATAACAAATCTTATATGTCAAACTCTCATTATGTTTGAACATTCAAGCATTTAGCTTTTTTTCAGCTGGCCAGCCAATTTATAATCAAAGTACTTTTCATTTTTTAGTGATATCTTTTAATTAATGAATCTGCTGTAGTGTGATAAAATAAAGTTTTATTTGATTACTAATTGCATATATATATACTAACATAGTATCATTTACAGAAATATAGTTATGAAAAATAATAGCTAGGTTTGTATTAGCAATAGTGCTTTCATATTATATTAATGATTAATTAGGTGACTTAGTCTAGCAATGCTAATTATTATATAATATTATCTGGAGCTAATTATCTCATGATTTGAGTTATGAAAAGGTTGTGAGAAAGTGCCAGAAACTGTCTAAGAGGTAGGGTGATATAAATTTTTATATTATACATCATTTAAAGCTAATCTTTGTTAATCACGAGAGTTTCACAAATCACATATAAATATAAAATTAGCTTAGCCTGAGATATAATCCTATATAAATCCTAATATACTTGTAATTAAAGATGACGTTGCAACATTGTGACGCTTATTTATTACCTGTTGCAACTTAAATTTTAATAATGTTGCAATTCGTTGCAACATTGTAATACTTATTTGTCACCTGTTGCAACTAATTGAGGTGCCATCTTTACTTGTAATCAAATAAAATAAATAAAATGAATCTGATATTTATTATAATATAGTTGTTATAAACTGTTATAAATCACTATAAATCAATAAAAAACAGTAAAATTGCTAAAATCATTAAAACACTATAAAATTGTTATAATCTGTTATAATCTACTAAAACACTATTATGGATTTAGATAGTAGAGCCCAATATAAGCTAATTTCTATAGGCTATAGTGATGTAAACTTCAAAGAATATAGAAGAATATTAGAAGCATTATGTCTTTTAAGTGAATGATATAATCATGAAACGTTAAAAATGTGGTACTCTCATATTTATGATCTATTTAGAAAAATACTTGAAGAGAATTCAAAAATCCAATGTATGAAAAGCTTTATGAAAATGATAAAGTCCATGGTCATCCAACAAATTATACATATTGTAGTATATATGACTTCTTAGTTTTCATATCTGCAATTTTTATAGCGACCATTACTATTATGATAGTTACTTGAAAAGATATATTTCTAGAAATACTATTTTAAATGAATATGCAAAAAGAAATGAAATTCTCCAATTTATTAATAGTAGGGAATTTCAGATCTGATAATATAAACAATACATATTACAAGAAGAAGCTAAAATTAATCATTTCCATTTAGAGCTTTTCTTCTAATCTATCTCACACTCAAAAAAGGATAAGTTGACATTAGTATCTTATGATCATGATGGAAATTTTACGGTTAGCTATAAAAATTATGCATAATCTAAAGTAACTGTAGTAAAAAATACTATGCTAAGTGCTTCAAATTTTGAGCTAGCTTGTATTTCACCTATCAGGTAAAAATGATTTCACTAACTTCTTATTAATCATCAAAAAGTAATACAAGCGAAATATTTATCTCATCTCAGTATACAAACAAAATAACTTATTATTATCTATAAATCATCTTAATCAGCCTGCATTAAGATTGAAAGATGAGAAAAAAATCACGTTCGTTTAACTGACTTATTTTGAGAAATATATTAATTATAAACTATTATTTTTAATTGAAAAATAATATCATTTAGCCAAAAATGCAATGTATAACATTCTTTATTTTTTGCATTATATAATCTGCATGTATGATCATTTGATAAAATTGTGAAATATATCACCTGCTGGATAAAAAATGTGATCTGCATATTTTAGGTTAGATCTTTCAATATACTGTATAACTATTTTAATGAAGTATTTCAAGAAGATCTATAAAGTGGTCTTAGGGATTTTTGATTGCGAGACAATATACAGTGGTGCTCAAAAGTATTGTATCACCTGAATACAAATTTTAAAATGGCATTTTCTTGTAATTAAGACGGCACAGTGTCATATAAATTATTTATTAGACTTATTATAACTAAGTCTATTCAATATATGAAAATTGGTTTATAGTAATAAGATAAATTTTTAAAAAATATTTATTTTTGAACAATTAGGTGATCCTTTTCTTTTGATTGTTTTTTTATTAAATTTTTTAAGTATATAAAAAAAAATCAAAAATCTAACCAACTTATTAAAAACTTTGATAAATAATTATTTACCATTTTGTATAGCCGCCATTAGCTCTAATTATATCATTTATATGAGTTGGCATAGTATCAACCAACTTTTTGTATACATCGGATCCCAACTCAACCCAAATTTTTTGAATTGCATCCCATAACTGATCCTATGTTCTAACAGGTGTTCCAAGCCGTCTCAGATGATGATCTATTTCATTCCAAAGGTGTTCTATAGGATTTAAGTCAGGGATTGTGCTGGCCAATCAAGAATTTTAACCCTATTATCTTCAAACCATTGCTTTGTAAGATGTGCATGTTTAGGATCATTATCCTGTTGAAAAATAATATTTTCTTTATCTATTCCATGCCACGCGATGGTTTTCAATAGGTCTTCCTTTAAAATTTGGCGATATAAATCACCATTCATATGTCCATAAATTCAGCATATATTACCAACTCCATCAGATGTAAAACATCCTCACAATATAATATTACTCCATTCAAATTTAATAGTTGGTTTAACATGATGATTGCGTAATAGTTCTCCTGGCTTTTTCCAACAATACTCTCTACTATCTGATCCATAAATCATAAATTTTGACTCATCTGATCAAACCATTTTACTCCAATCTTCAACTATCCATAACTTGTATTTTTTTGCAAATTTTATTCTTGCGATTCTATGTGTTTTTTGAAGATATGGTTTTTTACACTTAACACTTGCACTCATTCCATTTCTATATAAGGTTCTCTTTACTATACATTCACTAACTTCAATTTGTTCTTCTATTTTTAATTTTTTTTGAATTGCAACAGCATTGCTACATTCATCTGTTGTAATTAATCTCAAAACTTTTCGTTCATATTGACCAGTTAAGAGTCGTGGACGTTTAGATTTAGGTTTGTTTTTATTGTTACCAGTTTTATCTTTATGTTACTTTATTCTTATAACAGTTCTGCTATATAACGGGAGGGAAAACCTTTATCAAATAAAGCATAATTCCTAGCTCTTTTTTTAACAGAAAGATAAACCTTAGATATTTTATAAAATTACAAAGAGGCAAAAAATGCCATAAGGCATTTTTTTTATATGTATTGCATAGTTGTTTTGAAGCAAAAAAAATCGCGTAATAAGTGTTGATATTTATTTCTTAAATCGATCAAAAGAAATGCATCGCCACTTTGGCAAAAGATTCATAACAAAAAAAAATATTCTTAAAAAAAGATGAAAGAGATTGATAAAGATTAAGGTATGATGAACTCTATATTTAAGTTTTGTAACACTACGCCTTTTAAATTACAACATATTTCCATTTTAAATTTGTATTCGGGTGATGCAATACTTTTGATTACCACTGTAAATGATTTTTTTATTTTCTTATCATTTTTATAAAATATTTTAATTGAGTTGATATTTAATCTATAAGATAAAGGAATTTAATTTAGTAAATAAGTTTTTTAAATTTTTTTTAAATATGATAAAAGTTAGTTTAAATATTACTAAAAAATCTAGAATAACTTAATTATTATTTAGTATTGATAATTAATAATCTGACAGATTTTCTTTAAACATGTATATGTTGATTTTTCTTAATATATTTTAAAATTATATTTTTTTTATGAATTAAATAGGATTTATCTTTAGATTATATTTAAGTAGATTTATAATCAGAAGTATTTATTTTTTTATCAATTATAATATAAGTAATTACAAGTTTAAAACAAATAATTATCTTTTATTTTCAAATCAAAAAAAAAGATTTTTCAAAAAAAATGCTGTATAATTATGATTATAAAGTTTTAACATAATCTTTTTGATTTGATAACATTTTTAGAAGATAATACTTGTGATTAATTAAGTCAATAACTTTAGTAATGCAGAAAATTCCTTTATATTATTTATTTATATCCTAAAAAACCTTACAGTTTTGTTATTTGCTTTAAAATATGTTGATGGTATGTAAAAAAGATTTTTAAATTATTTTTTTATTAAATAAATATTTCTTTATCCAATTGGTTTAATAAATAATATGCTAAATCAGGAAAGATTCCAGAAAGTTTTACAACACCTTTTATAAGTTTATTTTTTTGTACAATTCCATTCTTAGATCCGGTCTAAGGACTGACTTAATGCTTTATGAACCGGACAAGCTCCAACTTTCGCAATCAAAATTAAAATTCCTAAGCTCTGAAATATTTAGAAATGTAAATGTTAAATGCAAAGTAAAAAATATTACCTTAAATTTTTGTTAGATAATTGTCAAAAAAACTATCGTATTAAATTGTCAAAAAGAATGCATTTTTGAAATTACAACAATGCACTATAAAAGAATGTAGGGGACGGGCGAGAAAAAGCCTAAAACTATATATTTGACCGGAGCTAGCGAAATTTTGTGATCATACAATCTTAATTCCGGCCGAAAATTAACAGGTGAAAAAAAATCTTTACTGCTACCTGGCCGGTTAACTATTTAAGTCTGTCGGATCAATTATCAATCTTATTATAGTTTGATAACTATTTTTTCTTGATTATCAGTTTTCATTTTAAATCATGATTAATAAAAGAAATTTGAGGACTTGCGTAACCTTCACGAAATTTCACGTGATATAATTTGTCACCGATGTCACTTCCCTCCGCGTTTCATTTTTACTAAGTATTATGGGGACTTGGAATTTTTCAGTAAATTGAAAATCTATTGTCACCACTATACGTCACATGTGCGCCACAATTAATTCCTGCCAATGCCGTGATGCCGGCCATTTCGTTGAAGGTTACGCAGGGGAAGTCAATTTGAGTTGCTGTGCCACATTTGTGGACGGAATCATGATTACATTCTGTTATCATCAGTGACATACATTTTGTAACTTAACTTTTATCCGATTTTACGGAAATTTTAATTATGATCAACAAATATAGTACGTAAATAAAATTGCTCAAACCGAAGTAAATCACGTGACTAATCGCGATCATAGTTTTATAAAAAACTTAACGTGAATCAATAACCCTTTTAAATTTCATATACTTTTTTTTTATAGGTATTATTATACTTTGAGGAAATTTTAACTGCAAGAAAATTTTCATTACGTTTTCCCAACAGCGAATTATTTACCAATGGTTTTCTATAATATTGTGTAAAATTACTCAGATACATAATTACTTTTCCAGAATATTTCCATAATTTCATCCTTTTCGGCATCTGTACATTAGTTATGCCCTCTGGTATAGTCAAGCTTGTAAGAAACAATCGGCTATCATTGTTTTAGCGAATTGGGTAAAGCTTATTAAAATTTCACAACAATACGGGTTATCCACCATTTCTAGGTATAAACTTATCCTCTTGACCATTACACAATTAAAAGATATTTGCGCCTTTCATTCATTCTCTTTACTAAAAAAAGTTGGGCTGAATCATTCTGCTTATCAATTTATTTAATATTAAAGTATATTTGTCACACAGACTGATAACATTGTGAAATGCAATGCATAAAAATACACGATCAGTTTTCAGTAAATGATCAGCGCCCTACGATTAGTAATACTTATATAATGCAGTTATTTTTTTATTGAGCTACAATAAAAAAAAAAAATATGAAAAGTAAAAAAATGTTAAAACTTACGAATTTAAACGATTTAAAATATTATAATGAATGGTTAGAATGGTTGGATAATTCAATTGCTAATGAACATATTAAATTTTATGACAAATCGAATTTCAAAAATAAGCAGTTCATAGGAAGAGGTTCATATGGAACCGTTTATCGAATTAACTGGAAAAATAAACATATTTTCGCTTTGAAAACTTTTAATAATGATCAAGAAGCCACTAAAGAAGTTGTGAAAGAGGTATAATATTTTGCGATTACCTAAATAAAAAAAAGTTAAAAATTTACATTAAATGTGTTTCTTTGTATTACAGTTGAAGCTACACCGAAAAGTTAATAATCATAAAAACATTATTCAATTATATGGTGTCACAATGTTAGAACCAAGTGAGCATTAGAAATATATCATTGAATTTTAATATTATTACTTTTTAATTTATAAATGCTTTTTTTTATTATTACAGATGTATACTCTTTAGTCTTAGAATATGCCGATAGTGGAACATTGAATGCTTATTTAAATAAGCATTTCAATGAACTAAATTGGAATGACAAATTTCGGTTGGCATTTCAACTGTCAAGTGCTGTAGAATTTTTGCATGAAGAAGATATTATCCATCGTGACCTGGTATATAACTTTATTCCTTTATCTGATTTACCAAGATTTACTCATAAATTAAAACTTTCTTATTTAATCAATCAAAGCATGCCAACAATATACTTGTACATCAGGAAAATATTAAATTATCAGACTTTGGCTTATCAAGAAAAATTACTGAAGTTTCAAATAATGCAAATATATTTGGCATAATACCTTATGTGGACCCAAAAAGTTTAATCAATCAACGTTACAAATTAAGTAAAAAATCCGATGTCTATAGCATTGGAGTGCTTATGTGGCAAATTTCAAGCGGACATTCACCATTTTATGGTGCCAATTATGATGTAGGATTAAGCATTGGTATAGTTTGCGGAAAAAGAGAAAATATTGTTGACGGAACTCCTATTTTTTATAGTAATTTATATGAAGGTAAGGCAAATGAATATAATTCTTTATTTAAATATACAAATGGTATAAAGTATTAATTTCATTAATTATTTACAATGATCAGCATGTTGGAACAACGAACCAAATGAACGTCCAAATATACAGGAAGTTGTTTCAACACTTGAAGGCATAATCTCTCCCAAACTAACTGGTACAATTATGAACAATATTAATGGCAATAAAAATGATGGTAGTGAAACTAATTGTAAAGTAAGCAAAGGCACTCTTAATTATGATTCCAATCTTGATAAATTAGATATTGTTAATTTGGAGCGAAATTCTATCCAATTGAAAAGAATTATTGATGAGTTAATCAAATTTATAATTAAGAAACATGATGAAGGCATTCTTATTGATCAGATTAAACAATATATCATTCAACAAATATCACAAACGAATCGAGACATAGACAAAATCATAGGGTGGTTATTAAATCAAGATAAATCAAAATACGTTTGGCTCTTAGGAATATTTTATTATAATAATATCGGTATAGAAGCAATTAGATTTAAAACTTTTGAATTATTTTCAAAAGCAGCAGAAGATGAATCGATTGCACAAGTTTATTTGGCCAAATGCTATTATGATGGGCATGGAACTGAAAAAAATTATAATTTAGCTTTTAAATGTTATCAAAAATCAGTAAATAATGGAAGTATTATAGGGCTTTATTATTTGGCAAATTGCTATAAATATGGCATTGGCACCCCTATTAATAATAAGATGATGTTTGCATTGTATCAAAAAGCGGCTGAAAAGGAAAATAGTATGGCGCAAAATAGTCTTGGATTATTATATGAAAATGGCAAAGGCACAGAAAGAAATTTAGAAAAGGCACTTGATTGTTTTGATAAAGCAGCAAAGAACGAACATGAAGCGGCGCTATATAATTTAGGCAGATATTATCAATATGGAATATATGTTACAAAAGATGAAGCCAAAGCTTTTGACTATTATAAAAAATCAGCCGAAAAAGAATATGTTGAAGCACAGCTAAAACTTGGATGTTGTTATTCAAGTGGAATCGGAACTGAAATTAACAAAGAAAAGGCATTTGAATTATACAATGTTGCAGCTGAAAATGAACATATTACCGCACAATATAATTTAGCCATATGTTATCAATATGGAGAAGGTACCAAGAAAAATCTCGTTAAAGCTTTTGAATGTTACAAAAAATCAGCTAAAAAAGATTTAGTTGATGCACAACTTCAACTTGGACATTGTTACGCTAATGGAATTGGAATTGAGATTAACAAAGAAAAAGCGTTTAAAATATATAAAAAAGCGGCGGAAAAAGAATATAATGTTGCACAATATAATTTGGCTTTATGTTATCAAAATGGAATAGGTACCGAAAAAAATGAGGATAAAGCTTTTGAATATTATAAAAGATCAGCTGAAAAAGGTTATGTCGATGCCAAATTTAAACTTGGATATTGTTACTATTGTGGAATCGGAACCGAAATTAATTATAACAAGGCATTTGAGCAATATACATTAGCCGCTGCAAAAGAACATGTTTATGCACAATATAATTTAGGACAATTTTATAGATTAGGAATTGGTACTGAAATAAATAAAGACAAGGCATTTATGTATTATAAAAAATCAGCTGATAAAGGACATTTCGAAGCAGAATTTAAACTTGGATTTTGTTATGATTGTGGAATAGGGACTGAAATTGATAAAGAAAAAGCATTCAAGTTATATAAAATAGCAGCTGACAATAAAATTACTGCTGCAATATATAACCTAGGACAATTTTATATGTTAGGAATAGTTGTTAAAAAAGATGAAAATAAAGCTTTTGAATATTATAAGCAATCGGCTGAAGAGGGATTTATTGACGGACAATTTAAAGTTGGATATTGCTATTATTTTGGAATTGGAACTGTAATTAATAAGGAAAAAGCATTTAAATTTTGTAAAATGGCGGCCGAAAATGAACATATTTATGCACAATATAACCTTGGACAATTTTATAGATTAGGAATAGGTATTGAAAAGAATGAAGATAAAGCTTTTGAATATTATAAAAAATCAGCCGAAAAAGGATATGTTGAAGCAGAATTTAAGCTTGGATATTGCTATTCAAATGGAATTGGGACTAAAATTAATAAAGCAAAAGCATTTGAATTATATAAAATAGCAGCTGAAAAAGAACATGATATGGCTCAAAATAGCCTTGCATTATTATATGAATATGGTAAAAATACAGAAAAGAATTTAGAGAAAGCTTTTTACTGGTATAATAAAGCAGCAAAGAATGGAAATGGTATTGCACAATATAATTTAGGAAGATGTTATCAATATGGGATTGGTAATAAAATGGATGAAATTAAGGCTTGTATGTATTATAAAAAATCGGCTGAAAAACGATATGCATTTGCAGTATTTCAACTTGGCTATTGTTATGATTATGGAGTTGGAACCTATACTAATAAGGAAGCAGCATTTGAATTATATCAAATTGCGGCTAAAAAAGAACATATTATAGCTCAAAATAGCCTTGCGTTATTATATGAAAATGGCCAAGGTATCAAAAAAGATTTGAAACATGCAATTTATTGGTATAATAAAGCAGCAACAAATGGAAATGAAGTGGCACAATATAATATGGGTAGATGTTATAGATTAGGAATTGGTGTTGAAAAAGATGAAAGTAAAGCTTTTGAATATTATAAGATTTCAGCTGAAAAAGGATATTGCATAGCTCAATATCATCTTGGTTATTTATATGAACATGGCAGAAATATAAAAAAAGACTTCGAACAAGCTATTTATTGGTATAATAAAGCAACAGAAAATGGATATGAAATTGCACAATATAGTTTAGGAAGATGTATCAAATTAGAAATAAGTTTTAAACAAAATAAAGAAAAGGAATCCAAAGCTTATGAAGGTGAAGGCATTATTGAGGAAAATTTGAAAAAAGCATTTCGTTGGTATAATAAAGTAGCAGATGCCGTTGTACAATACCATATAGGTGGTGGCTTTAGTTTAGGAATTGGAATTGAAAAAGACGAATTTAAGGCTTTTGATTATTATAGAAAATCAGCCAGGAAAGGATATAGTTTAGCTCAAAATAATCTTGGGTTGCTATATGAAAATGGAGAAGTTATGGAAAAAGATTTAGAAAAAGCTATTTATTGGTATAACAAAGCAGCAGAAAATGGAAATAGAATTGCGCAATATAATTTAGGCAGATGTTATCAATATGGAATTGGTGTTAAAAAGGATGAAACAAAAGCGTTCAAACATTATGAACTATCGGCTAAAGATGAATACGAAACTGCACAATATCAACTTGGTTATTGTTATGCAAATGGAATTGGTACCGAAATCAATAAAGAAAAGTCCTTTCAATTATATGAAATTGCTGCTAAAAAAGAACATAGTATTGCTCAAAATAGTCTTGCATCGGCATATGAAAATGGCGAAGGCACAGAAATTAATTTGAATAAAGCTATTTATTGGTATAATAAGTCGGCACAAAATGGAAATGAAGTTGCTCAATATAATATGGGGGATTGTTATCGGTTAGGAATAGGAGTTGAAAAGGATGAAATTAAAGCGTTTGAGTTTTATAAAGAATCAGCAGAAAATGGCGACATTGATGCAAAAACTCAACTTGGACATTGTTATATGAATGGAATAGGAATAGTAATTAATGAAAAATTGGCATTTAAATCATATAAAGAGGCAGCTGAAAGAGGAAATAGTTTTGCTCAAAACAATCTTGCATTATTATATGTAAATGGTAAAGGTACAGAAAAAGATTTAGTAAAAGCCATTTATTGGTTTAAAAAATCAGCAAAAAATGGTAATAATATAGCACAGAGTAATTTAGGCGAGTTTTATGAATTAGGAAATGGTGTTTCTAAAAATGAATGTAAAGCATTTAAACTTTATAAGAAATCAGTAGAAAATGGAAACACGGGAGCGAAATTTCATCTTGGGTATTGTTATGTAAATGGGATTGGAGTACAAATAAATAAAGAAAAAGGAATTGAGTTATATAATGAGGCTGTTGAAAAGAAAGAAAATGGTTTAGACGAAGTTGGTTATTGGTATCAAAAGGCAGCAGAACATGATAATAGAGTCGCGTTATACAATTTGGGCAATATGTATGAATTAGGAAGGGGTATTGGTGTAAATAAAGTTAGAGCATTTGAATTTTATAAAAAATCAGCTAGTAAAGGGCACATTGATGCTCAATATAGGCTCGGGTATTGTTATGAACATGGAATTGGAACCGAAATTGATAAAAAAAAGGCATATGATATGTGCAAAAAAGCTGCTGAAAATCAAATAATAAGATATTAAAAAGATATATTTATAAATACCGGTATATTAAGAAATTATAGTTTTGCATATCTAAAGGCTGGTTCCTTTTTTCGTGCGCAGTTTGTATTTGTTGCCAAGTTAGCACTTTTTTTTCGTATTATAGACATTTTTAATTCATTTCTTTCATCTTGTAAATTTTTTGTATATAAATGTAAGATTACTCGTAATAAAGCGCATGATATATTGCTTTAACTAATAAGTTGTTACGTCTATGAACTTTTATTTAAGTTTCAAAATGATTTATTCACGATATTTATAAAGATATTAAGCTGAATTTAATACATTGATTCAAAATACAATTTGAAATTATTTGCTAAATTAATTATTTATTTAACCGAATAAGTCATGCTTAAAAGTTATTATTAATCTCTTTTTGTCAACATGTCATTAATGATATTTTATGTGTCCTTCACAATATAAAGGAAAATCTGACGGAAAACTAAACTACTTTTATATGTCAAATATGCGGTGGAAAAGAGAGGAAATTACAAAATTATATGCTGAATAAGTCCGAATTTTTTTTTCCTCCCTTTCTACCGCAATACGGCCAATTATAAGCCGAGTTATTGTTTTGAAAATTAAAATTAATAACTAGATGCTATTGTCGAACCAACTAAAATACTTATGAAAAAAATCTCGGTGGTTATTTATCGTCCAATTATTATTGGATGTTTTCTTATCTATATTAATGATAAAAACAAAATAAAAATATTAAACATTGTTCTGGATTGTAATTATCTTTCTGAATTTATTAAATTTTATTATAAGCATAAAATAAATATTAATCCTAAGACCATATTATATTTAATTAATTTTTCTAAAATAATAAAGCAGTTAATTTCCTCGTCAAAATATGAAGAAATTTAAATATTTTTTTATTTTGCACTAATGAAAAAGATTCAACGTAACTGTTTAAAAAATATATTAGCGATCATTAAAGAATTTCTATTAAAAATCATTTTTATAAATAGACAAACTTCAGAATATATTTTATTATTTTAACGAGCCACAATGTGAATTTACTGATTTGTTTTTTTAGAACCATACTTCAATTTTATTTTCTTTAAAGAAATAATTTTAAAGGCGCGAAATCTAAAAAATTATCGCAGCTGCGCGATTTACGACTTTATCTTAAAGATTAATTTAATGTTTACGAATTATATAAGATCATGTCAAAATAAAAAAAAAATTTTTATTAAATCCGATCCCTTCCCTACAATCCAATATTTATTGATTTATTCGGTGTAAAATTCAGAACGAATTCCTTCATATGATGTGAACTATCTCTTTTTGTTACATTCAAAATTTTCCACACCCAAACAATCCAACTTTCTTTTTTTACTTTCATCATCAGAAGTTTCTTCCTCGGATTCCTCTTGCATATCACTTAAATCATCAAGAGCATCAGGATGTCCGATCGACTTTAAAGACTTCTTCAGTTTATCATAACATTTTGGTTGTTTCATGATCATATTTCCGTTAAGTTCCAATCTAGTCAGATTCCTGAGGTATTTGCGGATCGTATCGGCCAATGACAAGTACCCGGCATCATCTATGTGGTTATACTGAAGTCCGAGAAATTCGAGCTTTGTGTTTGATTTTTTTGATAAAGCGTCTAAAATAAAATTTACTTCTTTTGAAGTAAAAAAGCAAGAGTTGACGTTCATGTGTTTTAGATTGGACCAGTCGTTCATGTATGATCCAAATTTGCTTGCCAATTTGCTTAAATCGTTGTCTTCCAAGTCGAGAAACTCTAGCCCTTGACATGATTTTAAACCTTCTAATAATGGAGGGAAATATTTGGAATTAAGTTTATTTCGAGTTAAACATACCTTTGTTAAAGTAGTTTTATGTTTGATGAAAAGTTTTCCCAACAATGGGGTCGTACGACTGGATCCAAATAAATTCTCTCTAGCGGAAATCGTCTTCAAGAACGAGGACTGACGTTTTGAATTTAATATAGATTTAAAAAGGATCTCTCCTCCTTTTTTTCCCAATCCAGTGTCATCGACATTTATGCTTTGCAGATTTACATTCTGCGTCAGGAATTTGTTCATTTCCTCAATCGCTCCAGGGGCGAGCGCATTCTTACTAATGTTTAGTTCGGATATTGGTTTGTCCTCTATCACGCCGAATATCTTTTTAACGGATGATATGACCTCATCCTGATTTCTTGTCGTAAAAATGCTACACAAGTTTAATTTCTATTCATCATGATCAAAATAATCGGTTAGAATTAAAAAAAAAAAAAAAAAAAAAAAAAAAGTTTATTTGTAAAAATGAATGAAGGATAACGATTAACCTGTAAATTTTTTTTCGATTTAAGTATGTCTGCTATTTTTACGATTTCATCGTACGATAAATTGCGTAAGCTAAGGTCGATTTCTTCAAGCTCAAGCAACTTTGAAATATTATCAATAATTTCATCTACGGGCATACTTCCGTTCATCATGACAAGTATAAAAAAATTCAAATAAAATAATACATAAACATTTGGGCATTTTATAAAAGTTGAAGATGCAAAGTATCAAAAAAGGGATCGTTGAGCATGATTAATAGGTGAAATTGGAATATCCCACGCGCTAAAAATCCAAATTTGCACAAGCGGAAAAAAGAAAATCGATCAATCACGTGACTCAGTGATTGATCGAAATTTTTTTTTTTTTAAATCAAAAGTGATCGAATTGGTGAACAAAGTTTGCAATTATGAAAATGACAATCAGTTTCAGCTAATATATTACAGTTAGAAAAAAAAAAGATATGTCTTATTTATGTGCTCGATGATTATTTAATAACGTGCATCAATCACATTTATATGTATAAAATAAAGCATGCGTCCTTATAAATTTGACCTTTAGAATAATTCGGTTTTACTGCAAAACGTAAAAATTCTTTTTTTTTTTTAGATGAACAAATAATTAATCACAGAACGTCTTACAAAGGATATGAGCTTTCTTGGGTGGTGTGCTTTATATTACCTCTGAATGTCAGAAAATTCCGAACGCCTAAATATTTCACATTCATTTAAAATCCAGAAAGCCATTATTGCTGGTGATTTTATAATGAGTATTTTTACTATTAAAATAAAGGCATGGTTCATATTATTTATTGTCTTTTTCTTTAATTTTAATAGCAATTGAATCTTAACGTTAGAGTTATTAAAAGTTATTTTTTTATTTATCAGACAATCATTATCAATAGAGTCACTTCATTATCTCTTCGTAATAATCCAAAGGTCAGAGATGAATAGCATACCATAGAACTCTTTACTTCTTGATCTAAAAAGTAAGATTGATATAAAAAACTGGAAGTGAAAAAAAAAAAAATTTTTTTTTTTATTAATTTAATTACCATTTTTTGTTTTTGACAAATGGCGTGACAATTAAACTGCTTCATAAAGCCATTTTAATAAGCCTTGGAGAGAAACAACCTATAGCTTATTTAAAAAAGTACGCGGTTTTTTTTATTTTATTTGAGAAAATTTCAATTAGTAAAGTTTTATGAGATTCCGTAATTGATGTATATTTAATTAAAATAACGATACAAATAAAAATAAAAAAAATTACAGTGCGTAGAATTTAAAATAAATTATACTATAAAATGCTCCTAAGAAGGCATCCATCTGGTCCATAATCCGTTGGACTAAGTCGATTAGTCCAAGTGAGCCACCTTAAAACGTAGGAGATAAGACATGACATGCATAGTAGCAACGCAAAATCAAATCATCGGCTGCGTAAAGTATAGGCAGTTGGCTTAAAGCTACAGCCCATATTGAAATAAACGAGTCCTTGCAAATAACGTGCATGTATACTGGAACGGCATATGATAAGGACATAATGACTGGTATTTTCCGATCATTTATAAAGCCATCAAAGTGAAGCCACCAGAAACGTGCTATGATGAACAGACAGGTGGTTACGCCTAAAATGTAAACCAGAGTAACCAACACCAGCGTGACTTTAAAGGAGCTAACTTTGAGGCAACATCTCGTAGTACCTTTTGTAATGCTTTCGTTTACGGCGTATTATGTAAATAATTGCAAACAGCCAAAGAACGGCCGCAACTATGGTTGCGATTACTGGTACAGCATCAATAAAAGGATTTTGTGATTTTACCGACATGTATATTAGTAGCGCCAAACCGGAGATCCCGGTAAGAACCTGTTCGGCTACAGCAATGTTCCCGTTGTATTCTTTTTGTTGACTGAGATCCACAAGCAAAACTGGTATCAATATCATAATACAATAGTCGAAAAATGTGTTCACTTTATCCGGCTCATCTCTGTATGCATGAACCGTGGGTAGATAAATAAATATTGAGGTTAACGAGGATAACGATGCCACATTGGTATCCATACGTTTGTTTCTAGGGACAAGTAGCGAAAAAGTTTTTTTAAAAGAGTTAACGACCATAGGAAAAATTGTTCGATGTAAACGGGGAAGACCGGACCGAAAAGGCTAAAATCTGTATTAATTAATTAATAAAATAAAATTACTATTTTGGTATGTTATTGTATTACAAATAAAACAAAATACCCAAAATACTGGAATTTAGGCGAAACAAATTCCAGACTTGAAAATTTGTATTAGTTACAAAAATAAATAGATTATCATTTTATTTTTTAAAAATAAGTATTAACGAAATTTGAGGGTTTACTAATATTTATTTTTTTGTAATAATTTAAATTCCTATAAACTAATACCTTCTTTTATGGTATGGTTAAATAAGTTGGTAGACAAGGTTTAGACATGTATTTAGTTATTCCACGGGGATCAATGGATATCATTGATTTTCACGGCGCAGCCGTGAAAATATCAATGATATCCATGTG